GTAGTATAATATACGTCATAGGTTTCAGCCCTAAATGTAATGGAAGTCTTAAAACTCGTCGTCTTCCAAGTTTATTTTTAAGTACTTTTGACAATGCAACTTTAAAAAAATATATCTCTGTTGTTGTTTACAGCTCCATATAAAGCTATACCTCATTGGAAAGGGCAAAAATCAAATTTTCAGAAAAAAAATATTTCGGTCTCAGGAAACCCATAATATTCCGCAAAAAAAATTAACAAGGCATATTTCTGCATAAGACATTTTTCAAAATTTATGAAGAAAGTCATTTTGCCAGGAAATTCGTCTATTTTGTGTAACATGGTAAAAACAATTGTTTTTCTTCAATATCTCAGCCAAACAACCCGCAAATCGTTCGAAAATATATAGCGGCTTGGAATTTTCTACGAATTTATTTTGTGACGCTATCAGATTATGCTAATGTTTATCCTAATTAGCATAATGACATTCAATACTTCGGCATCCCTCGTGCTGAAGTGTTTGACGCTCTGTTTTGTAAGGTTTCCATCGAAATATTTAGTTACAGACAAGCAAACATGAATTTGCTGATATAATTCATCAAAATAAGCAAGGATTTGAAGGCAAAAAGCTAAGCGAAGGCCAAGCGGGAAGGAATTCATTGCGTTTCAACAACATGTGCTCCAGACTGAGACGAATCAGCGATCGGCACGCAAGATTCAAACTGTTTTCTTACCTCAATTTTCGTGTTTGTTTTGCTTGTTATCCTCCAGAATCCTTCAAAATAATTTGCTTGACTTTTATTTGGTTGAAATTCGTCGATACAAGCTTTCATTCTTGGCAAAAACAGCCCCAAATTACATCGCACTTCGGGTGCCATTGTTTTAGTTTTTTGAAAAATCGTTGCGTGAAGCTCAAAACTCTCCGGGGGCTGGAACTAGCCACATAATTGGCTAAATCGACGGCTAAATCGACGGCTAAATCTATTAAGAGCGGATGTCAGTAAATATCGACCAGAGGTCTGCAAAAGTGAAAAATCGAAAATTCTCAAAAAAATTCACAACGTAGCACTAGGTAAGCTGTTAACATAAATATAATTTTTACTTCGATCCGATATTTATTTTAGACGTGCGGGGGGATTATTGGTTTCGCGGCTCTCAGACCGGGTTTTCCAGGCCCGAGACGGTGTGAATCAATTGTAATGCAAACAGCAAATAACTTATTCAGAAAAGTACATAATTATAGACATTTTAAGGGGTGATTTACCCAGTTTCAACGAAAATGGAATATTTTGGAGATTTTTCATTATTTTCAATATTTTGATCTTTTCCGTTCGATGAGGAAAATGGCAAATTTCAAAGCCCAAAATCATCGACTGGTACCTCGATTTCAGTAAAGAGTCTTATACCACCTTAAAGAGCGTTATCTCTTCTTTCAAAATCTGTTTTCAAAACTATGGGCAACTTAAAAGAAAATGGGTGCTATTGAGTAGGGGTCTGGAAATAATTTGGGATAAATAACAATTTCTCCTCCAACCCTTCCTCCAACTTAAATTACTGACTGGTCCCTAAACAAGACAATCACCAAATCGAAACAAACTCAATATGGCAGAAAATATAGTGGTCGATTTCATAGAAAAAGGGATACACCACCGAACCTCTTATGCCTGGAAATGTTGTTTTAATGCTCATCTTTCATTTTAAAAAAAGTTAAACCTTGTCGTTTCTTTTTCCTTTCCTTTTGCCCTTTTTTTGTGATAATGCCAAAAAATTGGGTCGGTCGGCCGACGCTAAACGAGGAAAAAAAGGGGGATGCCCTTTTAAGATAGTTATTTGGCTCCCTCAGAGTATAAACGTATAATTTTACAAGGCCAGGATCGAGCGTATACTGAGTAATTAAATGACATTGACAAAAAATCAACGAAAGGCTGACTCTATGCTGCCTGACAACGAAATGGTGACCGTGAAATCAAGGTGGACCACATCCTGAACTCCCGCGAAAACCGCAAGAGAGGAGCGCTCAAGGCCAAGGAGACTAAAGCCGGAAAAAACAACAGGAGTGTTAAGAAACGTCCTTTATATCCTATTCTGTCCGGGTTCGTACTGATAAAGAATCATTTCCAGTGAAAGCACGCAAAGAGTGACAACAGTGGTAAGCGGTCGTTCTGTGAAATGTAACGCAATCTTTTCCGTTTGGATTTTTGCTGTTGTTGATCTGTTCTCCCGTGTGGATAGTACTTCACATTTCCAATATATGGGAAACAAACAAACACTAACAACATTGTTTTGTACGCTAAAATCTGATTTCCTGGACGTAAACAGTTTTGAATTTTAAGACTTTTTTAATTAGTGCTTTGTCCTTTGACAAGGTGCACTTGGCAGGAGTTGACAGCTTAGGGCTTAAATCTGCCTTTCCCATGTTAGCAAACGGTTTTAAATTATATCAGATCGCTGGATAAACACGTCTTGGTTTATGAAAACTGAAAACATCAAACCACTGTTGCTCAAACTGATTTCTTATAGTATTTTTCCGAGTTTTTAGCATCGCCCCGCTGATCGAGGAAAGTTCAAATTTCAGAAAAGTACTACTTGTATTTTTTGGCCTCAAAAATTTTCTTTTACCTTGCCCATAGTTTTGAAAACAGATTTTGAAAGAAGAGATAACGCTCTTTAACGTGGTATAAGACTCTTTACTGAAATCGAGGTACCAGTCGATGATTTTGGGCTTTGAAATTTGCCATTTTTTCGTCGAACGGAAACGATCAAAATATTGAGAATAATGAAAAATCTCCAAAATATTCCATTTTCGTTGAAACTGGGTAAATCACCCCTTAAAATGTGTATAATTATGTACTTTTCTGAATAAGTTATTTGCTGTTTGCATTACAGTTGATTTGATTTTTAAAACGATTTTTTCGTGACACACCGTCTCGGGCCTGGAAAACCCAGTCTGAGAGCCGCGAAACCAATAACCCCCCCGTTCGTCTGAAATAAATCATCATCATCATCAATCTTTATTTATACACGAAATCGTATCATTTTACATGGTCTTCCTAGGAATCGTGTTTAAAACTAGACTAAAATACTAAGACTAAAAGACTAAGGAACTATTGACTATAATGTTAAAAGTACAAAAACTTACATTATGAATAATAAGAGTTACAATGGGTCATGGTGTATTAGAAAAATCTTTCCCATGAATTGAAGTTTTAAAAACATTTAAACTAGGCAGTTTTCTAATCTCTGAGGGAATCTTGTTCCACAGAACAGATCCTCTGTAGTGTAGGCTCCTTTTTGCAGACTCAGTCAAATATCGGATGGAAGTAAAAATTATATTTATGTTAACAGCTTACCTAGTGCTACTTTGTAAATTTTTTTTGAGAATTTTCGATTTTTCACTTTTGCAGACCTTTGCTGGTCGATATTTACTGACATCCGCTCTTCCTGTGGGCCAGATTTGGAGGGAATCGGAAGTAACGCAATTTGTTGCGAATTTTTTTCCGGTTTAGGTCTTCGGAGATCTATTTTGCCAGGGGCGGAAGACGACGAGTTGATAAAGTCACTGACTGAAACATACGACGGTCTGATGCGATATTAATGTTATAGCCAGCTGGCGATTCACTTTCTTCGCCCTATTGTAGTCTTCATAGAAATAACTATTAAAACCTATCTTTACAATAAAATCACTATTCGGTCAAAGGACCATTTAAAATTCATTTCGATTAAAAATTCTTTTCAGTTATTAATGACAGTAAAAATAACAATGATAATGATAATATCAATAATAATAATAAGTTGTTACTTAAATTGCTATATAGGGGATCTGCCTGGGGTATTTAGTGTTTGATATTCCCTAGACACATTCTGGCGCTCAGTAAACCTGTTATAAGGCTAAAAGCAAACACTTTGAAATCTTCTTATGACCCTAAACATACAAAGAGCTAAAGAATTACACTTGGGACCTTTATTACATTTAGGGCCAAAAGTTATTACATTTAGGACCTTTATTACATTTAGGGCCAAAAGTTATTACATTTAGGACCTTTATTACATTTAGGGCCAAAAGTTATTACTCTTAGGGCCTTTATTACATTTAGGGTCTTTTATTACATTTGAGGCCTCAACAAAACTCTCTCTCTCTCTGGTACTGATGATAATTTTTAGTTAGGAGATGATACCTGAAATCTTTACGAGGATAAACCCTTTTAGCAGAACACTGAATGGCCCCCATAAACACTAAATGACCCAGACGTTTTATGATTAGGGTTAGGAAACTGGGGTTCAAGTTTCAGTTAGGGTTGATATACAGAGAGAACTGAACTGGAATTTGATTCACCCAGTACTGTATAAAGTTGCCATACATGGAAGCCCATGGAGGTGTATTAGATTGTCACTTCTCCTGGACAAACCTTGTAATATACGACCACTGTTGCGCCTACCAACTAATTTGCATTATGACAATTAGCGCTTACACGACGGGTGCAAGCCCTCGCTTTTTCACACTGCGAGAGCCTAATTGACGTGTCATTTCCGACCTGGCACCCGTCCTGTAAGTCCTAATTGTCATAATGCAAATTAGTTGGTAGGTGCAACAGTGGTCACAGGGACTGGACGAAAGCCAGAAGTGCCACGAAGTCCAGCACAAATGGCTCGATTTAATGAGAAAATTATGGATCTTTTTTCGAGCCGATCTCCCAGAGAGGAAGAAGAGGTTTCCCTCTCAGGCCGGAGCTGAAAAATTTGCAGCGGATTTGAATTTCGGCGAAAAAAACGGCAGTCTTGTTGCGACTGGTCCAGGACCCTGACAGATCGAAGTGGCCAGCCTTCGCTTCGTTCTATGAAAGGAGTAACAGTGGTAGATAGATAGATAGCAGATCTCAGTAATATGTTTGTCATACAAAGTCTCTTATATTTTCAACGATCGCCTGTAACGCGACACCGGCGCGTCACCTATGTTATGTAAATAGACCATTTTACCGATACGGCGGCCATATTGAATAAATTAGGTTAAAGCAGTATTATGGG